AAAAAAAAAAAAAAAAAGACCATACTACTCATACATATTTATTTATTTGGTACTGGGATTGAACTCTGGACTTTGTGCTTGCCAAGCAGGCAGTGGCATCACTGAGCTAAATCCCCAGCCCTCATTTTTCTTAAAGAAGTAGAAATTAAAAATATAAAAAGAGGGGTTGGGGATTTAGCTTAGTGATTCCGCCGCCTGCCTTGCAAGTGCAAGGACCTGAGTTCGATCCCTGGTACAACCCCCCCATATATATAAAGAGAAAATAAAACCCAAACTCAAGTAATCTCGAATTTTCTTTGTCCCCCTAGTCTTTTTTTTTTTTTTTTATACTGGGGATTGAACTCAGGTCCTTGCAAGGCAGGTGCCAAAACCACTGAACTAAATCCCTGTCCCTCTCCCCCTAGTTTTAGTCTTAGTTCAGTGAGTTTGAACAAAACAAAACAAAAAAGACTCCCACCTCTGTCTCTCTTTTTTTTGGGTAATGGGAGTTGAACCCAGGGCTTTTGTCCTGAGCTACACATTCCTGTCTTTTAAATTTTTTTCTTTTGACACAGGGTCTCGCGCTAAGTCACGAAGTTATCCAGGCTGGGCTCAAAATTGTGATCATCCTGCCTCAGCCTCCCAGAACTGTTGGAATTACACATCTGAGGCACCATAGTGGGCTAATATTTGAGTGTAGGCATTTCTTTTGGGTCCGAAGATACTACTACTGTACTTGTTATAAAAATGTTTTCACGGTTCAGCAGCTGCAACCAAAATGAGCTGTAGAAATCTCTGCAAATTCGTTAAAGTCGTGAAAAAGAGTGAAGTACATGAAAGATGAGAGTTCAGGTTGTGGCCAGCCTGGCTGGGCCGTGACCGGTTAATGAAGAAGTCCCATGTAACATGCACAGCACCGCTCCACAGCCCTGCAAGCGAATGCTGAGTCGGACAGGACAGGCCTGAGCCGGAAGTCAGCCCAAGGACTGGGAGAGGAAAAGGCCCACTGTTCCTCAGCTCTTCCAGCTGTGTTCTCTCCTGTGGAGCGAACTTGTTTTCCTGCTTTATCTCGGCCTAGACTCACTCTGCAGAGCCAGTTTCTCTTCCTATGTTTAATACATGTTAAAACTCTGCTACCAGGCCGGGGATTTAGCTCAGTGGTGCCGTGCCTGCCTCGTAAGTGGCAAGGTCCTGAGTTCTATTCCCGGCACCCCCCCACACACTTTGAACGCACCTCACCATTGTTGCCTTCTGAAGCAGGGCTGGGAGTCCTTTTTCATCTTTATTGTGCTGATGGGCCTGCCCCGGTGTGCTGAATTGATTCAGTGTTTCCCTCTCACCGTCATTCTTGACTTTGGGGAAGAGCCAGAGTGGCAGGTGCCAGATTCGGTGTGTAAGGAGGGTGAGGACGCGCTCACGGTTTTAGGAGCCTGCCTTTCCAGCTGGATTTGTAAATCACACCTTGTAGAGACACTCAGGGAATAGGAGTTCCAGAGCTCCTTCAGAAGTGGTGGGATCAATGTGTTCAGAGCAAGGGAGAGTATTTTGAGGGGATTAACGGCGCTGTCTTCTACTGTATTAAAAATTAAAAAAACTTAAAACATTCACCGTAGTTTTCAGTCACCCTCGTATTTCAAGTGCTAGATACCTGTCATCCCGCAGCACTCGAGAGGCTGAGGCAGGACGATCACTGCTAGTTCAAGTCCAGCCTGGTCTACATAGCAAGATCCTGTCTCAAAAACAAAACAAATCAAATGATAGACATTCCATTTTTCCAACCATATTTAAAAAATGTAACTCAGTAAAAAATCATACCTTCAAAATGACTGAATTCATTTGCTCAGAATTAAGAAAGCCATGACCGTTGTGAAATCAGGCATACATCTCGCAGTTTTTCTCCAGTGCATTTAAAGTTACACCTAACATAGCATCAACACGTAATTAGAAATAAAAGAATCTCCGAGCTGGACCAGGGATTTAGTTCAGTGGTTATGCTGCCTGCCTTGCAAGCTCAAGGTCCCGAGTTCGATCTCTGGTACAAAAACCAAAACAAAAAAAAAAACCAGTTGATCCCCAGTACCCCAAAAAACCAAACCAAAAACAAAAGCTGAAGGATAGATGAGCAGTACTGGTCAAATTAAGTCTCTAATACATGATGGAATTAGAAATGCTTTCTTCTGGAAAGGTACAGAGATTGGAAAAACTAACCAAACATTTTTATTAATTAGTAACCTTTCATAGTTATGTAGGGGGAAAAGCCCAGCTAACAAAGAAAACAAAGTATCACCACCTTGAAACAAAACATCATATACCTTGTGTGTGCTGGATTTGATAGAAATCTTCACTCTTTTTTTTTTTGGTACTGTGAATTGAACTTGGGTCCTTGCATTTACGAGGCAGGCAGGCGGCAGAACTACTGAGTTAAATACCCGGTCCTCTCCCTTTTTTATTTTTGGTTTTTTGAGACAAGGTCTCACTATGTAGTTGAGACTGCCCTGGAACTCACTATGTAGCCCAGGCTGGTCTCGAACTCACAGCGATCCTCCTGCCTCAGCCTCCCAAGTGCTGGGATTACAGGAGTGCACCACCACGCTCAGCATTTTTTTTTCCCCCTTTGGATAGAAGTCTTCATTCAGAACAGCTGGTTTTGTAGCAACTGAGTTACATTTCATTAAAAAAGGCAGAAAAAGAGGTACCATGCTAACACTAATTAATTACCAAAGGCAGAAGTACTACATTTTAGACAAAGCAAGGAAAACTATCAGAGATAATGAAAAGTATCACGGAATGATAAAGGAGTGAATTCTCCAGAAAAGTATAAGAGCCCTTCATGGAAAAGCTCCCACAGACAGCGGGGAAACACAGGAGGCAAAAATGATTAGGACCCTGAAGAGAAACATGATTCTTCCACTGTGCTGGGTGATCTCAGCGCCTCTCAATTACAAATGACTGATCCAGCAGATAGAAAATCAGTGAAGATACGGTGGGACCGAGCAGCAGCACCCGTCGACAGGATCTAACTGACACTTACAGGATGTCCATCCAACCACAGCAAAATTACATATTCTTCTCAAGCTTACGGGAACCCTCCCGACTCACCGCAACCGGGAGCACAGTAACCAAAGCAGTCTGAAAGAGCAGAGGTCACGCAAAGTCTGCTATCAGACTGGTAATGGCATTAACCTAAAAGTGAATTAGAAAAAAATAGCTGGAAAATTAAAAAATACTTGGAGATTAAACACATTCCTAAATACCTCCCTCTTTCCTTCTTGGTGCTGAGGATCAAACCTGGGGCTTTGTGCACACTAGGCTGGGCAGTCACTGAGCTACATCTTCACCCCGTACAATCTTTTTAAACAAATAAAAAATGAAAATACAAGGCTGGGGATTTAGCTCAGTGGTGCCACACCTGCCTCACAAGTGCAAGGTCCTGAGTTTGATTCCCAGTACAAAAAAAAAAAGGTGGGGTACAACTTACAAAATGTGTAGGATTCAGCAAATCCACTATTTGGAAGGAATTTACAGAACTGGCTTTGTGTATTGCTAACCTCTCGAGCTGGTCACGGCCTGTAATCCCAGGTACCGGGGAGGTGGAAGGCAGAGGATGATGGCAAGTGAGGCCCAGCCTGGGCAACAAGCCAAGACCCCCTTCTCCAAAACAAAACAAAGCAAAACAGGCAATGCCTGTAATCCCAGCATTCTGGGAGGCTGAGGCAGGAAGATCACAAGTTTGAGCTCAGCCTGAGAAATTTTTGTGAGACCTTTTCTCAGAATTGAAGGGACACACACACACACACACACACACACACACACACGCACAAAGTAAAAAAGGCCTGCGGATGTAGCCTGGTACTTAAGACCCTGGGTTCAATCCCCAGTACCCAAAACAAAAAGCCATAAATGCTGGCAAGGATTAGCTAGAATAGGAACCTTTCTACACTGCTGGTGGGAATGCTAATTAGTACAGCCCCTGTGGAAATCAGCATGGAGGTTCCTCAAAAACATAAAAATGGAAGTAGCACAGGACCCAGCAATAGCAGTCCTCTGTATACATCTACAGGGATTCACATCAGTGTCCTATAGTGGTTTACTGCGGCACAGTTCACAGATAGACAAGATCTGGGACCAACCTAGATGCCCATTAACAGATGCATGAATAAAGAAAATGTGGTAAGCCAGGCTGAATTAGTGCATTTTCCCTATATGTGGACCCCAAAAATGAAAGTAGAGGGCGACTACTATTAGACAACAGAAAGGGAATGTGGGGAGGTGGGTGTTAGAGAAGGCAGTGGGGCATGGGTAGGATTACAATATATTTTCTGCATGTATGAGAATACCACAGAGAAGCCTAGTATCTTGTTAAAGTAATAGGCACTAATAAAAATATATTCAAAATAGAAAGAAAAAATTTTAAATTCCAAGATGAGCTAAGTAAATGAAAGGTTATTCCATGTTCACGGGCAGGAGACTCAATACCGGTAAGGTGTCGATTCTCCCAAACTTGACCTATAGAGTCAATGCAAAATCCCAGTTAAGCTCCCAGCAAGTTAGGTTTTGGTTACAAATAAACTACGGAGAGGCAAGAGGTCCAGAATTGCTAAGACACTACTGAAGAAGAAAGACCGTCAAAGAACAGATTCGACTCAAAAGACTTACAGCACACGGATCCAGGAAGCACAGTGTTGTCAGAGGACAAGCCAGTGGTGGGCAGTGCAGAAAGCCCACAGGCTCACCCAGACGAACGTTGCAGACTGACTGACAAAGGAGCGAAGGCCGTTCTGTGGAGGAAGGAGAGTCTGTCCAACAAATGGTGCTGGGAGGAACAGATTTCTGTATGCAGAAGAGCAAATACAGATATGCAACTTACGTATTTCACAAAAATTAACTCAATATGGATCTGAGACCTAAATTAAAAAAAAACTAACTTCTAAAAGATGGTAAGAGCAAACCGAGGTGATCTTGGGTTTGGCAATGAGCTTTCAGATATGACACTGAATGTATGGCCCATGAAAGAAGAAACTAAGTTATACTTTATTAAAATTAAAAACTGCTGCTCCATGAAAGATAATGATAAAGGAATGAAGAGACAACCTAAGACCAGGAGAAAATATTTGTGACCATGGGTCTAATAAATACCTTGTATCCAAAATATACAAGGGACTCTCCGAACTCAACAGGAAGAGGACAAGGAATCTAGTCAAAAACGGGCAAAGAGTCTGAACAGACAGACAGACAGACAGCTCACCAAGGAAGATGTGTAAATGGCGAATACATTAGAAATGTTCACCATCAGATGTTCAGGGAGTCTGGAAATAAAAGCAATAATGAAACACCGTGGACCCTTGACTTACGAACTCAATTCATTCCCGAGGACTGGTTGTAGCTCAAGTTGGCCAGTGAAGACTCAGGCTCCTCCACATGACCCTCCAAGTCTCTCTCCTGCACACAGGTAGATCTGAGAGACGTTGCAGTTGACCCACACAGGGAAGGGTGTCGACATTTCTTTCCAGAACTCTTTAAGGGTTCGATCTATATCTGGAAGCACAAGCAGCCGGCATTCGGGTCATAACTCCAGACTGTAAGTTAAAACTACAATGCCAGTTGTAGCCCAGCTTGTTTGTATGTCAGGCTGGTTGTAACTTGAGGGTCCACTGTACCACTAAACCCATATTAGAATGGCCAAAATCTAAAAAAAAACAATAACAATACCAAACGCTGCTGAGGGAGAACAACGAATACTTGGTGATTTGTTGAGATTGCAAAATGGTACACTGCACTGGGAGACAGCCTGGTGGTTTCTTACCAAACTAGACACGGTCTTAGCTTGTGAACCAGTAATCACACCCCTAGGTATGAACCCAACTGAAAATTTAGGCCTGGGCTAAAACTTGCAAACAAATGCCCATAGCACCTGTATTCATAGTTACCAAAAACTGGAAGCAAGCAAGATTTCCTTCGTGGGTGTGTGGGTAAATACACTGGTGTATTTGTCAGATGATTATCAATACAGAAGGGGCTAACAAGTCACGAAAAGGTATGAAGAAAACTCAAACACATATTGCTGAGTGAAAGTAGCCAATAGGAAAACCTACACACTGCCATGTGGGCAAAGGTAAGAGAGCACAGAGGCAGTAAGAAGACCAGCGCTTGCCAGGGACTCGGAGGGAGGGATGGACGGCGGAGCACGGTAGACTTTTAGGATGGTGAACTATTCTATGTGAGACTGCAGTGGTGAACACAACATTAGGCGTCGGCCAAAATTTAAACCACGAAGACTGAAACTTTCATGTGAACCACGGACTATAGATATATGATTTATGTAAGTAATTTCAAACAAATGAATATATGGAAAGTATAAAATTTTTATTATATTTATTACATTTTGCTACTCTTCTTGGCCCTAGTACAGTCCTGGTTACAGAGCAACAGAGTCAGTTTGTAAAAAACAAAACCAATATCCCATTAAAACCCCACCCTCTCCTGTTGAAACTTTCCTTCATACACTGGGGACACCGGGGTAAACGCTTTCCCATGTCAATTGATTTTTTAAAAGTTTCTAAAATGCATGTTTCCCAAGGTCTTGGTCTTACTGATCTTAGCTCATGGAGTTATCTATGATAGTCTAGGATGTGAAGGGTCATCTTCTGTCCACAAGCACGTGACAAGGCTTTCTCCTCGGGCCTTCACGCTGCTGATTTTTCTTCAGAGTTTACGGGCAAGATTTAGCTCCATAGACACGGACAGAAATGCAGATCTGACAAGTGACATCAATGTCAGGACTGAAAGTCCCAGGACTACAAACCACTGCAAAGGAAATTGTGTAGATTATTCTAGATGAGAGGTGTTTTATATCGGCAACATAGGACTCAACAGGGATATCTCACAATTTCTACCACCCTCGTATTTATTTAGCCGATTAAGTTATGGGAGACTGAGTTTCAGACTTTGGAATCTGATGATTCTAAAGACAGGAGCAAGTTAGAATCTTTGTTTGTTTTAAACAATGACAAAGCTTATTTGTAAAAGTGAAGAGGGAGGGAGAAACTGGCTTTGCAGGGTGAATTTGGGCACGTGAAAGAGGAAAGAGCAAGATAAAAGTACACCTGCAGGACACGAGGTGGGCTGTGTGAGGACCGCCACGGAGCCCGGGATCTTATATTTTACTTTAGTGTCCGCACTTAAAATATATGAGTTCCTATTTCCAGTTTTCTAGTTCCTATTTCTTAGTTGTGTTTTCTAGGTAGGACCATTCCGTGTTCCTTACAGTATAACAGCTTAAGTCAGAAGGCTAAAGAAATGTTTTGTAATACAAGAGAGTGCACAGGAAGGATTAGTATACTTGAAGAGAAGTATATTTAGAAATCTGGCCTTTGAATTTTTACTTCCCCTTCGCAAAATATGTTTTTGTAAGAGAACCAGTCTAAAGATCCAGTTCCATTATCCTAAATGTATTACTCATCTACTTTTCTGATTCTATGCCTTAGATATTTAGATGTTTAGATTTTATAATTACCACAACAGCTTGCACAGTTGCTGTGTAGGCCTTCATTTTTTCCAAAGCCTGGTCGACAGCTGTCCACCCGTACTACATGAAAACTGTGGTTCACAAAATGCATAGCGGGTAGTGTTTTATTAAAACGATGGTAGAGAATATCTGCTTGGCTATGAAAAAATTCTTCTATCCGATCTCTTGCCTAAGATTTAAAAATATCAGAGAAAAGAACAATTACTAACCCACGGACCAAATTCTTCCTGCATAAGAGGCAATAAAAAGTAGTATAAATGCCCATGATTTACACAACAGATGAATTCTTGCAATGCTGGGTATTAAGACTCAAAATGAGCCTAATATTAGACTAGCCTTAACCTTATTAACTATTCTCATTTCATATGTAAAATGGGTGAGGAAAAATGAAAGTTAAAAATTTATAACATATCAATTCAATATGTAGCTATCAAGGGGTTCATTCATTACAGTATTTCTAATTCCATATAATAAGGAAAAAATATAAGCAAAATAAAAACCGATGTTTTTCTCTAATCAGCATTATAAACTAAAGATATAAAATGCGTTATTTCTCAAGCACAGAGTTTAATAATAACTAAAATTAACTGTCTTCTTCCCATAAGGTATCCATATTATGGGCTTAGGAAAAAGACCCAGACAGTGAAGGAAACTTTTTTTTTTTCAGTACCTAGCCTTCCAATTTTTTTTCTTTTAGAAAAGTCTTCACTAAGACACCCAGACTGGGCTTACACTTGTGATCCTCCTGCCTTCCAGAGTGCTGGGATTACAGGTGTGCACCAAAATCCCAGCTGAGTGAAGGGATTTTTCAGGCTATGTCCTTAGTTTCTGAGGATGGCAGACACACAGGAACTAGTTTTTGTTTTTTTGAGACAGGGTCTCATTATGTAGTGCAGGCTGGCCTTGGACTTGCTATGTAGCCTAGGTTGGCCTCAACTCCCAGAAATCCTCCTGCCTCAGCCTCCCGAGCGCTAGGATGACAGGTGTGCGCCACCATACACAGAAACTATTATGACGAGTGCAGACACAATTTTGGAAGAACAGTTGGTTTAACCTAGGATGACATGATTGTGGAATTGTTTCAGGCTGCTGTTTAACTCTCATTTAGGGAAACAAAACCAGGCATCTACCTTTTTATTATAGATAAAATACATAGTATTAACATATATATATATACACATATATATATGTATATATATATATGTGTATATATATATATATACACACACATATATATATATATATACACACTTCTCTGGAGTACATCTTGAACATCTTGAAATATCCAGGAATCTCACAATTTCAGTTTAAAAAACTGAAACAAAAATCAACACTATATTTAAATTAAAATAAAGAATTTAAATCTGAGCATGGTGGTGCACTGCTATAATCCCAGCACTTGGGAGGCTGAGGCAGAAGGATCATCAGGAGTTTGAGGCCAGCTTGGGGCTATATAATGAGTTCAAGGCCAGTCTGAGCTATAGAGTGAGACCCTGTCTCAAGAAAAGCCCCCCCGCAAAAGATATAAATTTACTCCTTAGTAATGTTTATATGAGTAACAAATACAAGATGGAGATTTCTGAAGAAAATTTTAACTGATAAAATATGTAAAAATTTAAAAATAGCCGGGGATTTGGCTCAGTGGTTCCACCGCCTGCCTCTCAAATACAAGGACCGGAGTTAGATTCTCGGTACCGCCCCCCAAATATTTTTTTGATTATTTAAGTACCTTTCCCTTCCAATGAAAACCTCACCTTGAGGATATTATGGTTAGTGGCATCTTCACAATCATCAGACTCATTGCATGCCCCTCTCCACCCAGGCGTGAAAAGGTTAACTGGGGAGGAAAACAAGATAGGTTCACAGAAGAACTCTAAAAAGTTCCAAACATCTCAACGAAGCCCCAAGTGCTTAAACCTGCATGCACACAGGCATCTGGTCCAGCCATCTAACCCTCGGAGGGAAGGTGCACAATTTGAGTAACTGATGCGTTATGACCTTACTCCACCTGGGGGCCAACGGAAGTAACTACAAGGCTTCAAAACACACTGGGGTTGGTTACTTTCCTTTGTTAAAATCTCAAAAATACAGTGTTAGTCTGGGTGTGGTGGCCCATGCCTGTAATCCCAGCACTAGGGAGGCTGAGGCAGGAGGATTGCGGTGAGACAAGCCTGGGCTACATAGTGAGTTCCAGGTCAGTCTCAACTATATGGTGAGACCCTGTCTCAAAAAAACAAACAAGGGCCGGGGATTTAGCTCAGTGGCTCCGCCGCCTGCCTCACAAGCACAAGGACCCGAGTTCAATCCCTGGTACCAAAAAAAAAAAAAAAAAAAAAAACCCAAACAACAAAAAATCTGGAAGAAGTTATCATTGAAATATTAGCTATATAATTAAAGCACTAATAAAATAATTGATTTCTCACTGATGAGCAACAATATATTACCTCTGAAGGTAAATAATTAGTATGTTAATTTAGAAAAATCACAACCAGGAAACAGTATATTTTAGTACTTAATAAACATTTTAAAAACTTATTCATGAGATATCTCAGTTTCACATGGTAATTAATTTTGTAATTTATCCTGGCTCAGAACTACATTCATCAAATGAGAGAAATGTTTAAAAAATTGTTTTTACCTTGAAAGGCTATGAATAGCTCATGTGTGAGGTCATGTTCTGGAATTTTAACAACATGGCATTTATATGATGGCTCTATGATATGGCATGACAAATCAGAGATTAAGTTATTCAAGATTTTTTTCAGCAGTCTGAAGAGCTGCTCATTATATCTTCCTACACAAGACTTCGTGGTAAAACGTACAGCCATCTGATAAGAATAATCAGGTTCCTGGTAGGCTTTGAAAAAAGAAATGAAAATGAAAATAATTGTGCCTAGCATTAACTTATTCTACTAAACAATTTTCAAATAACATGTAGTTTTAAGTAAGTCTCATCAAGCTTGCAAATCAGCAGGGAAACTTTTCTTTTCTCATAAGATGTTATATCAGTGTGCTCGCAAAATATATGAAACTAGTAATTTAAAAGAAAAAATGTCATTTTTCAGCTGAGACATTTACTTAGAAGAAATGGCTTCTGCGGGATAGCTATAAAGACAAGAGAATCAGGAAAAAAAAAAAAAAGATGGGTGCGGTGGTGCACACCTGTAATCCCAGCTATTCCAGAGGCTGAGGCAGGAGGACTGCAAGTTGAAGGCCAGCCTGGATGGTTTAGCAAGAGTTTGTCTAAAAAAAAAAAAAAAGTGCTGGGGGGGCAGACATTTGCCTAGCTTGAATGAGGCCCTGGGTTCAATCCCTAGGACTGGATTTGCTTTTATAATATTAAATATTGATTTCTAAGTATCCTGGCAAAATTGTGATAGTTTGTGGTTTCACACCCAGACAGTAGGAAGTAGAGAGCTGAAAGGGGGTTGTTTCAGATACACTTATTTTGATGTTAATTTAAGAATTTTCCCGGTCAAATTCACCTTCAAATACTTTGTAAATCATGACTCATTTTCACTAAACAAAGCAACTTTACACCGAATTTGGATTCTAATTATAAATTACAATGTGCCTGTATTCCTACCAAAGACCATGAAGTCATATCTCTTCTTGACTATAGTTTCTTCTTGGGTTTCTGCCTTGACAGTCTTATAAGAAAAAGTACATGTGTAAAGTCCAGACAAAAGCTCCAGAAAATCCTTCAGAATCAGCCTTCCTGTTTTTGTTATACTGATTCGATTATTTCCTAAACATAAATGGAAAATAATTTGGTTATTGAACAAAAATAACAATTCAAATATTACTTAGTAAACCTAGGGTTACGAATTAACATAAAAACATTTAAAAATTAAGGTACTATTTCAACTTCAAAATCCAACAGAGCCGGGATGTAGCTCAGCGACACAGTGGCTGCCTAGCAAGCGTGAGGCCCTGAGTTTGATTCCTGGTACAAAAACAAGAGAAAGCATCCTACAAAATCTTAATTCTGTCATATCACTCTATGAAAACCCACCAGATAAGTACAATTCTTTCATTCATTTCTTTTCTCTTTTTTTTATTCATTTCTCATTATCTAGTTTCAATCAGTTTATGCCAGTAATTCAGTAAATGAGATACGATTTCTTCACACAAAACAGAAAGTAGCCAAGTGTAAAGGGCGCATGCCTGTAACCCCAGTTACCTGGAGGGCTGAGACAGGAAAACTGCAAATTCAAGGTGAGTCTGTCTTAAATTAAGTAAATAAAATACAATAAAAGGGGCCAGAGCTGTAGCTCCGTGGTGAGGCACATGCCTAGCATGTTTAGTCTTTAATACTAAAAAGAAAAAACCCACAAACAAAAAATACCCCCAAAACAACAACAACCTAGAAATCAATTAATCATGTTTTTATTCCAAGCAACTCTTCTAACAGTAAAAGAAACTATACATGTGATATTTCATCTCCTATTATTGGTGCTATAAGGATACATTTTTAGATTTTATAAAGACTTCCGTGCTTTTGTTTTGGTACCAGGGATTGAACTCAGGACCTTCCACTTTTGAGGCAGGTGGTGACACTGCTGAGCTAAATCCCCAGCCCTATAAAGACATTTGAACTTGGCTGGGTGTAGTGGTGCACACCTGTAATCCCAGCACTTAGGAGGCTGAACTTTGGAGCTATGGGAAGTAGGGTGCAAAAATTACCCCTTCAGGGCTGGGAGGGTAGTTGAAAGGCAGAGTGCTTGCTTAGCCTGTATGAGGCCCTGGGTTCAAGCCTCAGCACTGCAAAAAAAAAAAAAAAAAAATCAAACAACAAAATTATTACTCTAGTTTTTACATAAGAAGAAAATAAGGCACAGACCAAGGTATACATGATTTAAGGTTAGATCAAGTAGAGTTGCAGTTAAATTTCAATTTTCTCTTTTCAATCAACAGCACTTTTCTAAAACAATATTGACATCAGCAAAACTGAACAGATTAGGATACGTATGGAGGATATACTCCTAAGTGAAATAAATAAGCCACATATGTGTAAATACCGAATAGTTTCTCTGGTGTGAATAAACTATAATAGTACATAAGATCCAAATGATACAATGTGAAATAGGAAGAAAGGGGCTAAAGGTGTAGGGAAAGTGGGAAGGGTAGGGGAAAGCTAATAAGGGAAAAGAAGAAAATATGAGAAAATGAAAAAAATGAAGTGTTTGTAAAGGGGGAGAGGAGGAGGGGTGAAGGGAGGGCAGGGACAAGGGGAAGAAATGAGAACCAAGACCCGTCATGTGAAGGTACAAGAGCCCAAGGATGAATGTAACTGTACTGTCTACCTAAAATGGACCAATAAACTCAATGAGGAAAAAGAAACTGAATAGATTAAAATCAATAATCTACCTGTTAATGTCTTTTCATTAGGCCCAATCCATAAGTATGTGGGGTCCACTGTTTCTTTACTAGCACGTTGGGAATCCATGCAGACAAGAACAGGACTATTTTGATGTAATTTTACATATATTTTCACTGTGAAAAAATAAAGTACTGTTAAGTACATTACATAGCAAAATTTAAAAAAATACTTGTCTCAAGGATACTTATTAGTTTTTGTTTTGTTTTGTTTTTTTTGTACCGGGGATTGAATTTGGGACCTTGCACTTAAAAGGCAGGTAGTGGAACCACTGAGCTAAATTTCCCGCTCAATACTTATTCTTCTTGAATTTCAGTATTTTATTATTTTTGAGACAGCATCTTGCTATGTAGTTTAGGCTGGCCTTGAACTCACTATGTAGTCCAGGCTAATACTGGGATGAGAGACATGTGCTATCACATCTGGCATTTTATTTTTGTTTTTTGGTACTGGGATCAAACTCAGGATCTTGAGCTTGCCAGGCAGGCGCTATGCCACTGAGCTACATCTCCAGCCCTCAATACTTTAAAAATTGATATATTATTATAACATTTAGGGCTGGGTGTTATGGTGCATGCCTGTCATTCCAGCAGTTAGGAGGATTGCTGCGTTTGAGGCTAGTCTGGGCTACATAGTGAGTTCAAGGCCAGCCTGAATTACATAGCAAAATCCTGTCTCAAAAAAAAAAGAAAAAGAAAAGAATAGGGTGCTAGCCCGAAGTCTCTTTTCTTTCTCAAGGTAAGCTGTTAAAACTTGTTTGAGTCATGCTTTTTTTTTCCCTTGGTGCGATAATATAGTATATAAAAATGTGTATAACACATTTAGAAGAAGTTCATTTTAATGTGCAGATTCAGAATTCATTCAAAACATAATCTTTTGAAGGGATAATTGATTCAATTTAAAGTCCAGAGAAGAACTTGAACTTGCTTTGCAGAACTAAATACGATGACTATCCTTAAGGAAAACGGCGTTTCATTTTATTTATTTTTAAATTTGAGTTTATTGGCACATTTTAGGTATACATTACGATCACATTCGTTACTGGGAATTTGTATCTGTACGTGATAGATCTTGGGTTTTTTTTTGTTTTGCTTTTGGTACCAGGGATCGAACTCTGGACCTTGTGCTTTCAAGGCAGGCAATGGAACCACTGAGCTACATCCCCAGCCCCTGATATGTCTTGGTTCTTATTTCTTCTCACTCCCCTCCCCTCCCTTCAACTCCTTCACCCCTCCTTATTTACATGATCTTTGTTTCCATTTTTTTCCTCCCCCCATTTTTATTCTTTTTCCCCTTCCGCTTTTTCCTTCTCCCTGGGCATTTCATTTAAAATTTCCTCTGTCGGGAATAAGAAGTCTGGAAGGGGAATACTAGGAAGGTATTCTGCAGTTACCTACTTTTACTTTGGGGCAGAGGCAGCAGGCTGGGAACCAGTGCAGTACCAGAAGTATTAATTTAAAACCCCTCTGAATGCCAGGCTCTAAATGCATAAAAGACACCATCCTACAATCTGGAGGGAGCAGCGGTGTTGGGGACGGAGAGGTTCCAAACATGCCACGATGAACTGGCTCAGTTATCCAAAAGTAACTGGGGGCAACGGAGCTGAACCTTAATGGGTGAACAGGATCCTCATCTAGTTAATCAAGGGAGGGGTAAGAGCCTTCAGCAGTGGAGAGGAATTTCCAGCCCTGGAAATCACGCCTGGGGTGGGGTTCACACGTCGCAGAGCTGCAGAAATATCTGGAATTGAGAGTCATTCCAAGAAGTCTGCGCTGAATTGGACTGGGCTGGATGCATCTTAAGTGAAATAAGTGACACACAAGCTTAAATATCTCGTGGTTTCGCTTATATGAGAAACCAAGGTATACACAAATAAAGAGCAGAATAAAAGATATTAGATGTCATGGAGGCAGATCCTTTGCAAATGGGAAGGAGACCGGAGACCAAGAGGTGAGGAGAGAGAGGATGTAAAAAGAATGTGTTATGTACATGTCCCAACAACCCAAGGTGAATGGAATCAAACGTGTATAATAAAAATATAAAGAAAACAGAGCTGTGCAGCTCTAAGGCAAGGCGATACAGCTAAACCTAGGGTCACTGTAAGCGTGGATCTACGCATCCTGATGTCCGGGACACATCTTCCGACGGTCTCGCGTGGGCAGAGTCATTACCTGGATGCCCTATCTTGCCGTACACGAGGCCTTTCTCACTGAGCAGGGAGGAGCGCGACCAGGCAACTGCGGAGGAAAGCAGCCAGGCTTGTCAGAGAGGAGCCGGCTCAGGGGTGGGGGTCAGGGGGCGGGACAGGGACTCTGGCACCGAGGGGACAAGGCTGGGGGTTGCGGGGACAGCCCTGGGGCGCAGGGGACAATCTTGGGGTCCGCGGGGGGCGAGCCCCACTTCCTGCGAGGTAGCAGAGCACCGCGGAGAGTAGGAGCCACGCTCGCATGGCGGCTCAGGAGGTGGCGTCGTGGGAGGCCTCGACCGCTGGGCTCTTTCCTGTCACAGCCCGCGTCCAACGCCTCCCCATCGCTCGTCCACACTGCCGGGCAAACCGCCTAGCGTCAATTCCGCTACCCGTCCGCGGCGGCTTGGCGGTGGGGGCGCGGACCTGCTGGACTGCGCGTGCGTGCTTCGGCTTCGGGGGCGG